TGCTGAGACTCATGTGACATCTGCTTTCTTTCCCAAAAAAGGCTTCAGCAAATTACTTTGGATCACAGTTAACTCACAGTGAGGTCCAGCACGTTCTGCAGGTGTTGGAGTGGGAGCACGTGGGGCTTTCAAAGATGATGGAAATTGGCTTAGCAATAACCTCACCAGCTCCCCCAGCACTCCTGGGTGCATCCCATCAGGGCCCATGGATCCAGTTTGCATAACATCTCTAATCCACTCCTCCTCCTCCAAGGGAGAGTCTTCCTCCCTCCAGACTTTCCCTCTTACCTCCAGGGTCTGGAATTTTTCAGGGCTGGTCTTGGCAGCAAAGCCTGAAGCAAAGGCACATTCAGTGTCTCCACCCTCTCTCTGTCAGAGGTCCCTGTCCTCTGAGTCCCTCTGTTTGGAGCTTGCCTCAGCACTTTGGCCAACCTGCTGCTGGTGAACTCGGGGGGTTCTTCCAGGAGAACAGTCTGGTTTTTCTCCTTCCTCCAGGCTCTTTGGAGGTTTGATCCGGGATGTGAAGAGGAAAGCCCCGTGGTTCTGGAGCGACTTTCGGGATGGCCTCAGCCTGCAGTGTCTGGCATCCTTCCTCTTCCTCTACTGTGCCTGCATGTCCCCCGTCATCACCTTCGGGGGGCTGCTGGGGGAGGCAACCAATGGCCACATAGTGAGCACTTCTCTCTGTTGGGTGGCATGGGAGGGATAAAACTCACACAAAAGTCCTTGCTGCAGTGAAGTTGGAGGGTTGGTTGGTTGTTTTCTTTTCCCCTGATGATTTCTTTACTCACTGCTGCCCCTCTTCCCTGCACAGAGTGCCATGGAGTCGCTGCTGGGTGCATCCATGACAGGCGTGGTGTACTCCCTCTTTGCTGGCCAACCTCTCACCATCCTCGGCAGCACGGGACCCGTCCTGGTGTTCGAGAAGATCCTCTTCAAATTCTGCAAGTAAGGCTGGCTGCTGGTGCTGGGTGCTGCAAGAGCCTCCAGAGGAAGGCAGTGTTGAAGAAAAGATGCTTTTCTTTTCTTCTTAGTGGTAATTGTGAGGTTTAAGTTGTCTGCTGTGTTAGAGCTGTTGCGTGCTGCTGCTTTAGGACGTGATGGTGCAAGAGCCATTGGTCTTGGATGGATGGGAACATTTTGGGGTTTTAGGGTTAAAGTGAAGCAGCAGCAGGAGGAGGAGAAGAAACCACCAGGATGTGGATGCCCAAGCTTGTCTTCGAATTGCTCTGGTTTGGGAATATGGGAAGATTTGCTTTCCTCAGAGTACAAAACCAGGCACTTTTTAGCCTGGTTTGTGCTGGAAGTGGATATGTCTTTTGCCCAAATATCCAACTCGTTTTCTGCTGAGCTATTTTGAGTTTTGAAAATGTAGGAGCTGGTCATGTGAAATGGATATTTTCTCAGGCAGTCCTTTTGTTGTGATGATTTTGGTTGGAGATGAAGCATCCTTGTTGCAATTAAATTTATTTGTGAGCCCCAACTTGCTGGCAGCAGCTGACTGGATGCAAAACCAGCTGGTTTTGGTGTCAGGGTAATGTGGGAGAACAGCACCTTCCCCAACAAGGACCTGACCTGCCTTAGCCTCCAAGGCATTAACCCAGGATTGGATCATTGTTAAATAATGATAAACATTTGGCCTCTCCTGCGGGTCCTCCTGGCACCGCAGCCCAAGCCTGTCTCCAGTGGGCCATGGAATTTACCATCCACAGCCTGGACACACTCCTGAATTGCTCCCAGTTTTCCCTGAGGGGGACGTGGCTTGCAGCCCCTTGCTGGCCCCTCCACCCTTCGCTTTGGTTTGGCTTCCAGGGACTACAGCCTCTCCTATCTCTCCCTGCGGGCGTGCATCGGGCTCTGGACCGCGGCCTTCTGCGTCATGCTGGTGGCCACTGATGCCAGCTGCTTGGTCTGCTACATCACCCGCTTCACTGAAGAAGCCTTCGCCGCCCTCATCTGCATCATCTTCATCTACGAGGCTCTAGAGAAGCTGAGTCACCTGCGAGAGGTCTACCCTGTGCACATGCACAGCGACCTCGACTTCCTCACCATCTACTAGTGGGTTTTTCCCCCCTAACGAGGCGCTGCCCCTTGGCAGGAGCTCAGGGCTGCACCTCCCTCCATCGCCTGTCCCTTACCCCATCTTGGCTTCTCTCCTGCCAGCTGTAAGTGTGAGGCACCGGCCCGGCCCAGCAACGAGACCCTGCGCTTCTGGGAGAGCAAGGAGGTCAACGCGTCTCGCGTCGCCTGGGCCAACCTGACGGTGTCCGTAAGTGCCCCCAGCCACCACTTCCTCCTGGAAGGCCCACGGCTGTTCACGAGGTGCAAAGTCAGAGCCCCTGGGGTGATGGTGGGCTTCCAGCTGGATGGTGCTGCTCTGGAAAGGCATTGCTTAAACCTTACATGTGGGTTTAACCCACTTGGTGCTGGGAAGGAAAGCCCACCGTGCCCAGTCCAGCCTGTCCCCAGCATCATGGGGAGCAGCTGTCCCCTCAGGCAGGACCTTCCTGACTGGGACCAAGGTTAAGTGGGTGCTTTGCTCATTGTAGAAGTTGGAAGACTCAAGTTCAGCTTGAAACTAGTCAATGGTTGCCTTCCTGGATTCCTAATCACTCCAGGCTTTGCTTTCTTATTCAGTGCTGTCTGTCAGTACATGCATAAATTTGCACGTCTGAGCAGCCTCTCAGGCTCATGCTGCTGGAAGCAGAGCCCAGGCATAGGATGGGAGGCCCTTATGGACAGCTTCATCTTCATCTTCCCACTCATGGCCAAGTTCTGTGAGGGCTCTGTGAAGAAGGGACAATTTGTCTTTTTTCTTCTCCTACTGTGGTTGTTTGCCCTCCCTCCCCATTCCCTCTTTCAGCATCCCCAAGAGTTTCCATCGTTTCCTTCCCCTCTGGTGTCTTCTTCAGCCACAGTTACCTGCTGTTCAGGCAGAGGATGTGCCCTGGGTCTGTGCTGTGGTGTCCCACCACATCTCATGTCTCTGCTCTCCTCTGTGTAGTTTGATGTGTCACTTGTTCAGCTGCTGCTGCTCCTTAAACAGGAATCTCCTTTGGCAGGAGCAGTCACAAGACCACAGATCTTGGACCAAGATCCTTAAAACCCCCAAATTATCCGAGGTTTCCTTGCTGCATGCGAGCTGCCTTTGTGCCCTGACCCTCTGTTTCTCCAGGAATGTCGGTATTTGCATGGAGAGTTCCAAGGACCTGCCTGTGGGCATGATGGCCCCTACACACCTGATGTCCTCTTCTGGTGCTGCATCCTCTTCTTCTCCACCTTTGTCCTGTCGAGCTTGCTGAAGAAGTTTAAAACCAGCCGTTACTTCCCAACCAGAGTAGGTGGAATGTGGTGGCCAGCAGCAGTCTCCACGCTCCTTTCCCAAAGGCAGCATTCATCACCCCTTGCCCAAGCCAGGAAACCTTGACCTTGCAGGCTAAGCTCCCCATCACCTGGGACATCCCTCACTCATTTCCAGGAGTGTGAAATGATCGTAGCATTTCCCCCCGGCCTCATGACCTGCCCCAGGGGTGGTTCTGTTGCTCAGGCAGTGGGAAATCAGATCTCCAAAGTAACTTTTGCTTCACCTTCTGTGCACGATGTGCTCACAGGGAAGGTGGATTCAGATGAGGAGCTGCCATAGAAAAAGACACAAGTTCTTCCTTTTGAGGAGCAAGTGATGCCTCAGTGCCTTATTCCCACTGTAGCTGTGAGCATGGCTGGAGTGGCAGACATCTGCTCCCTTATTTTTTAACATTCTTTTTTAAGGTTTGAATTAAAACACCCTTTTCCACCCAATTAAACTTTTTCTGACCCCAGATCTCACAGCCACAATCACAGCAGCAGCATCTCACCAAGGTGTGGGATTTTGTTCACCAGCTCTGACGCTGGTGTCCCCAGCTCCTCCAGCTCTTGCCACAGCCCCGTGTGTGAGGCCCCTTTCAGTGCTGGTTTCTTGCCCCAGGTCCGGTCCACGATCAGTGACTTTGCTGTTTTCCTCACCATTGCCATCATGGTGCTCATCGACTTCCTGATTGGGATCCCATCACCGAAGCTCCACGTCCCCCACATGTTCAAGGTAAGGGGGTGTTTTCACCTGGAGCTGGTCTCAGCCCTTGGGGGTGCCCCAGGGTGACGTCGGGGCAGGATGGGGCTGAGTCTGGAGGAGATGCTGGTGGTGTGACCATCTCCTCTTCCACCTCCAAGTGCATAAGTTCCTTCTGGAAATGAGAGGGCAGCCCCAAAGCTAGATGCCTACGGGAGAAGTGTCTCTAGGTGCCTGTGAAGAGGACACTGGCACTGCTGGAGCCCATAGGAGAGGGTGACGTGGAGCCAGGGCTGGGAGATGCTCGGACACAGGGGTGGAGGGGGAGGAGTCAAAGCCAGGGAAGTGGCCGGGCCGGGAGATGATGCTGGTGTGTGTGCTTTGTTGCAGCCTACCAGAGATGACCGCGGGTGGTTCATCAACCCCATAGGACCCAATCCTTGGTGGACGGTGCTGGCTGCGCTCATCCCAGCTCTGCTCTGCACCATCCTGATATTCATGGACCAGCAGATCACCGCTGTTATTGTCAACAGGAACGAGCACAGGCTGAAGGTGAGGGGCTGCAGGAGATGGTGGTCTCCTGGGTTGGGCTGGGGTCGGGTTGATGGTCAGGAGAGGCCACAGCCAGGTAAACAGCTGGCCCAGCCAGTGGGGTGTTTGATACCAGTCTGATGTCGTGCCCTCTATCTCAGGGGAGGGGCTGGCCCACACGTGGGTAACAGTTAGCTTGGGGCTGGAGCAGGGAGGGCTGTGTCTTGGGTAGGGGGTTTAGTATCACTTGCTCTCTAATTTCACTGGTATTATTGTTTTCTCCTCTCTTTGCATTGTTCTATTAAACTGTCCTGACCTCAACCCACGGGGCAGCTGCTGGTGTTCAGCTCCCAGCTGAGGTTAAACCATAACACGTCCCAACCCCAGCTCACTCCAGGCTGCAGGGGTGGGGAGGAGTTCCTCTTCCAAATGCTTTGTGAAGGCATTGGTAGGGGACAGCAGAAGGCTGAGTGGCAGGACGCCCTCCTGGATTAATGGTGACATGGGGAGCAAATGACAGGGAGTTCAGATGAGCAATCTTTTTGGAGCAGTAAATTAATCCCAGATCATTATAGAAACACATTTTTGATTTAAAATGTCAGCAGTGGCTAGGGGAACGACTCATCCTGATGTGTTGCCAGGGAGAACTGGAGTCATGTCTTACTTGCCAGCGGTGGAGATGTCTTTATGAATGACAGAAATAGTCAGGGGTTTGTGTCTGTGTGGTTTTGGTTTGTTTGTTGGTTTCTTTTTTTTTTTTCTTTTTTTTTGAGAAGTGGGCATCACAGAAACTCTCCAAATCCACTTTGCTGCACTCCAGCCAGATTTTCATGTGCAATTCCTTATTTGTTACCAGTTCTGGTTTGAAGTTTGGAAGAGGCTGACTCGTGCTCCAGCAGGGTTTGAGTCTGACCTGCGACATTGTCCTTGCTCTTGTTCTGGGGGATGTTCTGTTTCTTGTCTTGCTCCCTGCAGAAAGGATGTGGGTACCACCTGGACCTTTTCATGGTGGCCGTGATGCTCGGGGTGTGCTCTGTGATGGGGCTGCCCTGGTTTGTGGCTGCAACTGTCCTGTCCATCACCCATGTGAATAGCCTCAAGGTGGAGTCTGCCTGCTCAGCTCCAGGAGAACAACCCAAATTTCTGGGGATACGAGAGCAGAGAGTCACTGGCTTGATGATCTTTGTGCTCATGGGCTGCTCTGTCTTCTTCACATCTGTGTTAAAGGTAAGAGGGAAATGCAAACCACCAACGAGCATGAGCTGTTGGAGGTTGTACAAAAATCATCCCCTTTCTACAGACCTGAATAACTGTGGAATGGAGGAAGAGATCCCAAACCTTGGGGCTGCACCCACGGTGGGCACCAGCCTCAGTTACACTCTCCAGCCCTTCAGACCCCGGGCTGGTGCACTCGAGGCAAGCGAGCAACCCAACTGCTTTAATTTTCAGATGTCCTTCAGGCCCAGCCGTGTTCAGGGCTTACCAGGAAGTGTGTTCAGGGCAGTTCATCTGCTGCCTTTCCAACAGGCAGTGCTTGGTTGGCTGCAATTGGCTCCCTCAGATGCCTCAGAATGGCCCTTCCCCATAGCTAAACACACTGACATCGTGCCCATGGGTGTTCCTTCACAAAGGAACCTCCTCTCCAGGCTAAAGGGAGGCATGTTGTTTCTGTGTGTTGCCACAAGAATATGTAGGAAAACGTTTTTTTTTTGTTGTTGTCACAGAAGGCAGCATATGGTAACATGGGTGAAATCTCCTGTTCTCCTCCAACTGCCCTGGAAAATAGGATTATTCTGATGGATCAGAACTCAAAAGTTCAGCCTGAAGCAGAGCATTAGCTCACACACAAAACATCTAATGGTTAAAGCTTGATGCATCTCTAACCCTGTGAAACTGGAAAGCTTTAGGCAATTTTAGGCAGTGCCTGTAGAACTAGAGTGTTGATACTGCCAGTGCAAATTAAAAAAATAAATGACTGCCTCACTTTTTTTTGCAGTTTGTACCAATGCCTGTGCTTTATGGTGTCTTTCTCTACATGGGTGTGTCGTCGCTCAGAGGAATCCAGGTACAGACCCCTGAGCAGCCTGTGCACCGTGTGTGCCCCCTGGGATTGCACCTCTGTAAAAGCAGGAAAAGAGCATTGGAAAAACCCCTCCACCAGCAAGCAGTGAAAATATTCTGTGTTAGGGACAGACGGGTGGAGGCACAGGAGGTACAGAGGGCTGGGAGGACCAGGCAGAGTCAGCGCGCTCGGCTTGGGGCAGGTCAGGGTTTGGTTGTGTGAAGATGGGGAGCTCAGTGCAAAGGGAAGGCAGTTTCTGCCACTGGTGGCAATCCTTGCTGGGGGATTTTGAGGGCCAGGAAAGGCTGAATAATGTGGAATAGATGCATCTTGGTGGGCAGCTGTCACAGGCCAGCTGGCGTAGAGATGGAGCAAAGGGAAAATGGGCGCTGCTCCCAGGGGAACGTTGTGGGACCCAGGAATTCCCATTGCAAGCGAGACCCTGGAAACTCCCTGCACATCTCAGCAGGGCCAGAAACTTCCTGCAGTCCCAAGCTGGCGACTTCTCCACTCTTCTGCAGTTCTTCGATCGCTTGAAGCTGTTTTGGATGCCGGCCAAACACCAGCCAGATTTCATCTACCTGCGGCACGTCCCCCTGCGGAAGGTGCATTTCTTCACTGTGATCCAGCTCATCTGCCTCGTCCTGCTCTGGGCCATCAAGGTGTCCCCTGCTGCCATCATCTTTCCCATGATGGTAAGAGGCGGTGCCGCTCGGCAGCGGGATGTTGGCAGCCTTGGAGTGAGAGGTGGCATCACCTCTGGCCTCACTGCATCTTCCCTCTTATTTGTGAAGGTTTTGGCTCTTGTTTTTGTCCGGAAAGTGATGGATTTCTGCTTCTCGAAGAGAGAGCTCAGCTTTCTGGATGACCTGATGCCAGAAAGCAAGAAGAAGAAGTTGGATGATGCCAAAAATGAAGCCAAAGAAGAAGAGGTAACGCTTGTGGGGTGCTTGGGGCTGGACATCTCCCTCAGGCTGTTTCTATCACAGCTTGTCTTGAGATGCTGAGGGAAGATCAGAACTCAATAGAAATAGATCCTAATAGCCAGGATTCCACATTGTAACCTTTTCACCTAAACTAGCAGTTTTCAAAATGAGTCATTTATAATCAAGGTGATGATGATGCTATTCTTAATATTGAAAGGTTTACTCATAATAGTGTTTTTAATGCCCCCCAAATGTTTGTGGTGAAAAGTCTCTACTGTGCTGCACTAACAGCTAAAGCTGCCACGGGTCAGCAGAGTGCAGCATGAAATGTTTTTGTTGGGTGTTTATCTGCCTTTGATCAAAGAACTTGATTTGTTCCTTTTTATGGCAGGAGTCCCAGAAGATGATGGAAGCTGCTGCTGCAAATTCAGTTCAGCTGAAACTGGGCAAGACCAGCAACATGGATATTGCAAAGCAAAGCAGTGACAGGTAAAGCTCCACCAAGTGCCAGGGCCCTGGGCAAGATCAGTTTGAAGGTATCTGGCACAGTTTTCTCCATGCGCATCTTTGTTGAGCATCCTGTAGAAACCAGCAGTCAGCCTGGTGGGAGAAGGAAATCTGCAGGCAGGGCTGCCAGAGGTGAGGCCAAGGCTCTGACCCCGAGCAGAGTGGCTGCACACTCACATTAGACCCCCAAACTTGCCTCATCGGTGACTTCACGGGAGCTGCAGATCCTCGTGCTTAAAACTGAGGAGCTGAAGTCCCAGTCTGTACCTGCTGTGGCCCAGGAGCCCAGCCCAGGGTGAGGCACCAGCAAGAGCCGTTGCACGGAGCTGTTGCTCTGCGGCTCTCAGGGTTGCCTCCCGAAAGTCCTCGTCCAGCCAGACCCCCCGAGCTTGTGCCGAGCTTTGACTCTCTGGGCCCCCTGCTCCTCTTGCTGATGCCAATGTGCTTGGTGGCATCAGGTCCCACAGTCACGGATGGGTGTGTTCCATGTTTGCTGCAGACCTGATCCTTCCGAGATTAATCTCTCAGATGAAATGTCCAAAACGACCGTTTGGAAGGCGCTCACCATGAACACTGAAACAGCCTGAACCCGGGGAGGGAACAGGTAAAGGACTGCACGTGGACCCCTGCAGCAGCCGGCAGGTCTTCCCCTGACGCTGCTCTCCCTCTCTTTCCCCTCCAAGTTTTCCTGTTCAGGAATCTGGACGTGGAAGGAGAGGAGTGAGGCGGCGACGCGGGGATGTGCCACGGCCGGCGTGGGGAGAAGCGGCTGCTTTCCCTTTGGAGGGTTCCCATCAAAGCCACGCGGGTGTTTCCAGTGCCCCTTGGCGTGCCTGTGGCACCCGGAGAGGAGCTGCAGGCCCCCGCGGGAGAGAGGAGCTGCAGGTCCCAGGGGGATCTGGTGGTGCCAAGCCTCGTGCAGTGTCCTTGCTCTGCTGTGGTGGTGGTGGGGCTGCTACGCTTTGTCATTCGGTGTCTTGTTGGTGTCTCAGCCCTCTTCACCTCTCTCTCTCTCTCTCTTTTTTTTTTCAAGTATGAACTCTGAATGTAGAAAATAATTTTCTGCTCTATTTGGTGCATTCTCCACTTCCTTCCTTCCCACAGCCAGGTTTTGGGGCTGGTTTGGGTGGTGCTGGATGCCCTCGGTGGCAGGGCAGCGTCCCGGCACCTGGGCCACAGCCACAGAGAAGTGTTTGCTCCTGCACTCCAGGTTCACATCCTTGCTTTTTTATTTTTTGGAGCGTGGTTTTCAGCATGTTCCTGGCATCCCTCCAGCTAAGAAAGAAAGAAAGAAAGAAAGAAAGAAAGAAAGAAAGAACCCCACCCCACTGTCTTTCACCCTAAATACTTCCCACCTTTTGGAAGGATTTGGTATTTCCCTGTACAGAGGAAAATGATCCTGGGCTGGGGGACCCCTCTCCATGGTGTTCCTGGAGTTCTCTTAGGACTTAAAATAACACCCCAGCCCTTGAAGTGACCCATGGTGCTTCTGTTGGCAGCAAACTGTGTTCAGTTTTAAGCACCACAGGATCAGAAAGACCTTGAGGGGTTGGAGCAGGTCCAGACAAGGGCAACGGAGGTGGCGCG